AGTTACGTTCTTTCACAAAAACGACGAAATCCGGCGAATTTGGGAAAGCGATATTACAACCGAGCATCGGAGACGACGTCATAAATTCAGTCTCGAAGAAGGAGCTTTCGTCTATTACTCTTTGCTCACCCTCGCACAAGTTTCCTTTTATTTCTCTTCTTTCGACTCTCCTTCTCTCAACTTATTTACCCTGGCTCCGAGTGGCGTCTGATCATTTCCCGACATGGACGTTGAAATGATCGTTTTGCCGGTTCGTGAACAAGCTCAAGAGCGCAGCCCGGTAGCTCCTCGGAGTTGGTTTTGTTGATATTCGAGTGTTCAACGTAGACATCATTTAAATGATAACTACGTGTTGCGGATCCACCCCCTTATGAATAACCGACGCACAGTCAGGGTGTCTACTAAAACAGGCTGGTCAAAAATCAGTACTTTTACGGTGCTTTTCAGAACATTTCAAGCACGTAACCGGGGGGAGGGGGAGCTTGGGGGGCTCAAACCCCCCTCCTCCCCGAGAGTAAAAAAAAAGGAGGAAAAGAGGGGAGGAAAGAGGAGGCAGAATATGAGAAAGTGCGAGAAAAGAAGAAGTTTGAGACCGTTGAAGATATATATCTCTTTTAATGTAGAGTCTTAAATGAGAACACCGTGTTCATCCCTAAAATTTTCGTCAAAAAAGCCTCAAAGTGCGTCCAAATAGAGTCCACCTTTGTTGAACGTAACAATTCGACAGTATTCTGTGTTAAAGTAAAAAAAGCATAATTTTTCTGCATGAAGTTTTGAAAAACCTATGTTAAAGAAGCCTCGAATTGCGTCCAAATAGAGTTAAAATGTCAACAATTTTCAAGATCTTTTTGAATGCATATAGTTCAAAAGTCTTTTTTGCTGAAGGTTCAAAAAGAAAACGTAATTTTTCTGGGGACATTGATGGAAAATCTGCGTCACGGAGGCCTCGAAATGCGTCCAAATAGAATTAAAATTTCAAAAAATTTCTAGATTTGTTGAATGCATATAATTCAAAAGTATTTTGTGCTAAAAGTAAAAAAGGCGTAATTTTCATGCAGAAAGTGATGAAAAATCCGTGTCACAGAAGCCTCAAAATGCGTCTGATTAGACTACAAATTTAAAAAATTTGCAGGATCTTTTTTAATGCATTTAGGTATGCATTTTTTGCTGAAACTTCAAAAAGGAAACGTAAAATTTAGAGACGTCCCTAAGTATACAAACTCACGGAAATGGATTTGCTGCACGTGGTGTTTTTGCAACGTCAATTTGACTCGAGTGGGAGCGCGCAGGAAAAACACGGCCGAGTTTCGAGCGCGGATGGACGATTGGCAGGTGTGCAAAAGCGCGACCAGAAAGAAAAGCTCGCTGTCTGGGTGAAGGTGGGACGGGAGCCGAGCTTATAGATAGAGGCGTGAATTATTCATTCGGAAATCATCGATGAATAGGGAAGCAAGGAGCGATGGCGTGGGGAGGTCGCTGCACTTCTTTTATTACTCTCCTTTTGTCTAGCTGCTCGAAAACTCAGTTACAAGGGTGGAAACTCGACAAATCGCAGGCAAAGAACGATTTGTGAACCTGCGCTGCAGTTCTGAGGGAAAACGCCGTATGAAAATTCGAGAGTTGCCAAAAATCCTCCAATAAAATGTTTACTTTTGAGGAAATTTTTGAATATTTTTCCCTGCAATTTTCAGGAACTTTGGGTGAGAGAAATTGCGAACAAAAAAAACCTGAAAAATTGGAAGAAAAATCTTCAAAAGTTTACCGGGAAAGTCGTGCTTTATCGTGGGAAATTTGGCAACGCTTGAGGGTTCATACGGCGTTTTCCTTAGCACGGCAGTAAGACCAAAATGCAAAAAACTCCATCATTACGGGAAATTCTCAGAGAAAAAATATTGTCTAGCAGCTCGAAAACTCAGTTACAAGGGTGAAAACTCGACAAATCACAGTCAAAGAACGATTTGTGAACCTGCGCTGCAGTGCTGAGGAAAAACGCCGTATGAAAATTCGAGAGTTGCCAAATTTCCTCCGATAAAATGTTTACTTTTGAGGAAATTTTTGAATATTTTTCCCTGCAATTTTCAGGAACTTTGGGTGAAATTGCAGACAAAATTATCTGAAAAATTAGAAGAAAAATTTTCATATTTTCACCAAGAAACTCGTGTTTTATTAAAGGATTTTGGCCAACACCTGAGGTTTTATATGGCGTTTTTCCTTGGCACGGCAGTAAGACCAAAATGCAAAAAATTCCATCATCACGAGAAAATCTCAGAGAGAAAAAAATTTCATGATATTCCCATAAGTTTTCTGGGGTTTTTTTTCCAAACACGAAAATGGAAACTTAATGGCTACACTTGATGAGTGGTAAAGAATCATTCTATGGGTCCGTGTTTTTTTTTCCACTAATCAGGCGAGCGTAGTCAACTTTCGAGCAGCAGCTAAAATTTACGTCTGCTGAAAGCGGCTCGACTCAGATGGAGTAATTATGCAGTCTCAAGGTAGATGAGGTGTTTTACACGCTGCACTTAACAGTATTGCACCGTTTTAAAAGTCGGCTGCACAAAGCATGCATAATTTCACGGAAAATGGATTGTAAGTTCATCTGTGCATGCAACGTCCGCGCATCAAAAAAATTCGTACGCCATGCGCCATGTGGAAACGAAATGAGAGTGCAGGGGGTTCTTTGACTTTGTGTTTGTATGATGCCTTCCGAATTTTTCAGAGCTTTTTGCTACTAGAGAGGCTCGAAGGATTAGTTTATTTGGAAGTTTTCAGAGCGGGTATACTGGCACCTTGTCTTGATGCGTGCACATGTACTTAGGTCAAAAGCTCCTTTTATATAATTTTATGTAAAAAGTTGGTCAATTATTTTATGCCTTTAAAAAATTATTGAGGGGACGCGGACGCGGAAATGTGGAAACGCTGCGACTGAGATGTGATAATTAATTTCATCCAAAAAAAAATATGGTGTGAAATTTTTCTCGGTGTTTTTGGCAGAGCAGAGTCAGAGAATTTATTAGACCAATGTGATATCCCTCTCTTTACAATGACCCCTAGTTTTTCCGACATTTTCATGCGCTGCTTTGGGTTTGTTTTGTTGAACCCCCCCCCCCCCCCCCAACTGGAATATTTGTAACTTTTCTCCTTAGTGTGTACCTATCTATAAGCACAGAAAAATATGGGATGATCTTAAGTCCAAGCAAGGTTTATTGCTTTGATCTTAATGCAAAGAGGTCTGGAAGGGTAAAATATGTTATCATTTTTAAAATTACTTCAACTTTTTTTGGGATAATGATTTCAGCCCATTAAAGCAGAAAGATGGTCATTTACTCCACTTTTAGATGATACTGTTAAAATAGAATAATATTAAACTCGCTGCGTACAGAGAGAATTATTAAGCTAATTGAATTTAATAAGTGAGCAAGAACGTTAAATATTAATTTCCAACCCTGTGAGGGCAGTTTGAAAAGTGAACTGCTACATCCTCATTCACAGATCCAGGTGTGATTTCTCGGAGACAATATATGCTCAATGTCTGAAGTTGCATATCGACAGTGTAAGTCGGCAATCACACAACTCGTTTGCGCTGTCTGAAAATCTCCGCCTCTATGTTATTTTTTTAAATGCGAACAAATTGACATCATTCCTTGAAATGTATGCAGCATTGTCTTCGCACAGAGAAGAAAAATCACTGCAGTTTTAAAGAATTGCCGTTGAGCAGTTTCCCATTTAAAAAATAAAGTATGACAGGAAGTCTGCAACGTCGCAAACCGAGTTATGTGATTGCCGACTTACACCGTCGATATACTATGTCCTATAATTACCGAATTCCCTCTTACCTTTAAAACACTAGCCTTCGAGGAAATCTTAGTACAGATAATGAAGTAAAAAAGGACCTGCATTTTTTATTTCTACTTTTCCATTCAATTTTCTGGCCATGTTTATATGAGATGCCTCCCTCTTATTTATGTTCATTACACCTGCTCTCTTCCATGAATTGAACGGGCAAGAAAAAACCCTGGCAAGCTGACACTTGGGGTTTGGAGAGTAAATGCCAATCACTAAAATGCTACATTAGAATTATTACGTTACTTTGGTAAGGACCATTCAGTCCATCTTGGTAGGTTAAGCAGTGGTAACTTCAGGTATCATAGTATGTTTTCACTAGTTGGCGCACTTAGTAAATCAATGATTTCTTCATTTTCCAAACAATGAAGTAGAACTGCTCAAACTTATAAAACTCTTCATTTGAATGCAGCACTAAGTATGTACTTTGTAAGAAAAAACAATGCTCAATTGTCTACAAGGATACCCGTTTTGATAGAAGCTTCTTAGGGAGTGTCTTGAACTACAGGCCGTTCACAAATTTTGAACTGATACTGAATACAGATAAAAAGACAAAACAAATTTAATCCTCAGGTAAACTTAAATGGGACTAAATGCAGTAGACATTTGGATCAGTCATCAAGCATGTGACAGAAGATGTCTAGGCTAGAGTTTAGACGTATCTACCTCTTGAATAAGGATTTCATGCAAGATAGCTTGGTAATCTTACACCTGATGCCACAGTATTTAATGCTTGTACAATAAAAGATGCGCTGTCTTGTTTGTCCACTTCTGTTTCGAAGCAAAAATGAACCAAGTAGAATTTCAGTAGCACCCTCAAGTAAGGCTGAATCGTTTCAAAAGCACTCTGAATGAAAATTATTTGATCTTGAGTTCTAGATAAACCAGAATAATAATTTAGGCCCGAGTTATGATCTAATTGATGATATTTGTGATTCATTCTTCGAAGCTTTCGACTCGAAGAGCTTCAACCTAACAGCCCGAGGTTTATCAGATTTAAGAAATATTCAAAACTAAAGCAAGCTGTATACCTAGACCATCTTCTAGTGAGAGAGTATCCGGATTGTAGATGATAAGACACTCCTCGGAAACAACTAAACTGACTCTTAAAACTACCAAAGCCAAACAGTGTTGGTGCAAGCCAATTTTAAACATACCATTAGATGAAATTGGAGGGTGAACTGGGGGAGTGTAATCCAAATTAAAATGCACACACTATCACATCACACAAAACCGATTTAACGAATTGATCACAACACAAGAAACGGGAAGTTTTCACTCACACACTCGATGGAAACGACGCGGTCAGGGTGTACGCGGAAAGCTCACGAAAAGCCTGCAGTTTATCGGTCACTAACTGCAAAGCGCACGAAAGCTCTTCTCTTTCATTTTGCATTCGCTTCAAAACAAAAAGTTTGGTAAACGACGCGGGTTCTTTGTTCTGATACTAGGTGGCGGCACTTGTCAAATTTTTCTTAGCCGAATCAGCACCAAACAACGCGAAAGTAAAACAGAAATCTGTAAACAAAGCGGCGTGCTGAGTTTGAAGGTTATATTCAGTCACTGGTGGACTTTTTTCATACTCTTTCCTTAAAGTTTCCTAGTTTTTTAAAGTTATATTTATTCAATACTTTTATGGGCTCTATTTTAAACATGAATAAATTTGGAGGTCAAAAATTTGAATTCAGTGCCAAGTATTTAAATCAGTTAGTTGATAATGACAATTCTGGTGTAAAAGTTTGTAGAAATTGTATTCGTGTTTTCCAATTAAAAAATAAATATGTTGATAACCCAAAGGAGGGTCTCAAAGCGCACCTAGATTCAACTATACCACAGTATGATATTGAGTAAGTTAAACTCTACCTCATATTTATTTAGCTGTGATCAAGTATGCACTGCTCCCGCAGGGAAAAGCATGGGATTTGATGTACATTGTCTTCGAGCGATTGATTTTTTTGGAGTCAAAATCATTCACTGCCATGTAACTCTGCCTTGTTTGATTCAGAAGAAAGTACCTGATGACATGCACTTTCAAAGATCCCGAAAGTTGGTTGGGTGCGCTCAATGAACTAACATAGCACTGGCGTCAGGTTGTTTCCTTTTGACTGACAAGTAGGTACAATAAACCATTTTATGTACCTGCGCACAGTGGCGGTGCTACTTGCGGTCAATCTTTGATTGCCATCGGATGATGTGAACGCAAATGATCCCGAACGAAATGTAAACAACTGACAACTCATCTGAGATTAGTTCTACTTTTGTCCTCTTTTCCCTTTTGTAACCTAATGTTCTCTGTTTTTAAATATTTCAGGCTTGATGGTCTTATCATGGCGTACAAAAATGTAAAAATACTTACACCAGTTTATGCTCAAGATCGAACACTCTTTGACAGTATGATGGCTGTCAATGTGTCTTTCGATGTATATTATCTTCCATTTACGATTGGAAGTACCCTTGAAGGTAGGTATCTTATTTTTACTTTTTCACAAATACTCATCCAAGGTTATAGGGGCGCAAGTGTTTTTTATGTAAATCTCATTAAACCAGTGGCGAGACGAGAAATTGTCCACTGATATCATCCCATTTGAAACCATGATAAAGAATCTATTATTATGGTGTTAGTTGTGAATGCCCTGATCTATTTTCATAGGTTTGAATGGCACATCAATCGATACATTGAAAGTTCCCCATGCCACTGCATCAAACAGTAAAAATATATTTGATGTATTACATTTTAATTGTAAATTTACAATGCTCACTAACCTCATATTTAGCGGAAACGTTTTGGGTCTTCATATTCAGAGCATATTGATGGTGAAACTACTACACCACATATCTCGTTTGCGGTGTTTAAAAATCTCCGCTCCTATTTTTTTTTTTTTTTTGAAGAACAAATCAATATAATTTCTTGAAATTTTCACATAGTTTTCTCAGGGAAGTTTTCAAGAATCAACTTTGAATATTTATTCATTTAAAAATTAAATTATGACAGGAAGTCTACAGCGTCACAAACCAAGATATGTGGTCTGGTATTCTCACCGTCGATATAGTGACTGACATGTAGCAATCAGTTATTCCGCTGGTCCTCCTTGTTTTACAGTTTTATTGTTGTCTCTAGTTTGCTGTGGAATCAGTTTGAAGACTAGATTACCAATATTGTCACATTCAAAATGTATGAGCCTTTCTATTGCATTATGTATTTTTAAGTTTTCTCAAATAGTTGGTATTCAGCCCTTTCTTACTTTTTTCACGAGCGTAGTTTTAAGATCGATTCCATGCCCTTGGCAAGAATGCTTTATCACAGCAGATATAGCAACTTCTCCGTTTTTTGCACTTCCTCTATGGTCCTGTCCCTTTTTTTAAACTATTTTTCCTCTGAACCCGATGTAAGTTTTTTCTTAGTTTTGGCATTCCATTTAAAACATTCCTGATTTCTTGTCATCCAAGGTTTCATCTTTTAATTTGGAGTGAAAATTGGATTTAGTGTTTAATTTGTTTAAAAGGTCCGGTTGATATCATTTTTGGGGGGTTTAAATTTGCCCCGTTTACTTCATTTCAGTTACCTGTAATACTTATTTTATGTTTTCAGGAACAGTTTCTCATGTTGAAGAGAAACATATGGTGTGCCATGTTCATAACATTTTCCACGTCTCAGTTCTGAAGCCCTACTCAAAACCTTTCGAGGAATGGGGAGGCTCTAAAGTTAAACTAGGTGATACAGTTGAAATCGAAATCACAGCCAAACTTCTTCGAGAAGATATTCCTTACGTCCAGGGAAAATTATTGAGTGAAAGGTAAATTTTATCAAAAGTGTTTTCTGTGGATGACGTAGAAAATTTCCAACAAGCCCAACTGACAACCACAACTTACAGTGGGCCTGTTGAAAACTTTCGCTAGAGCAAAAATATGAGTTGCTACTCATAGACAGTGTCTCAATAATCACGATGAGCGTATCAGCAGAGTCTGAAATGCACTCCTTACACCACAATTTGCATACAAAATTTGCGTTGTTTCGAGCTTCCCACTTCAAAAACAATACCACAGCACAGGTGAACATTTCGATAGAGGAGGCATTTCATCTAAACCTTGCTCACAAGGATACTACGCAATATTCAACATAGCCAACGCCAATCCGTCAAAACATATGTGGCGGGACGATGATTCTAACTAACTGATAACAATCGGCGTGTTAACATTCACATTTTTCTCGCTTTGATAGATGCCTTGATTGACCTTGTGCTCTCTTCAGCTTGTGCGCGGAAGCGTCGTCCATTTTGAGCAGGGATTGAATGGAACGACTCCTCTAATGAAATGTTCACCTATGCTGTAGTATCCATTTTGAAGCGGGAATCTTAAAAAAACGCAAATTTCTTATGCAGATTGTGAAGTTAGGAGTGCATTTTAGAGTTTGCAGATGCGCTCATCATGAATTTTGGGACATGATCTGGAAGGAACAACTCTTATTGTTGCTCTAGCTAAAGTTTGCAACAGGCCTATTGGATTGCATTTAGCAAAAAAGAACCAGCGCGATTACAGTGTTTTCAAAATCGTTCAACTTCCTTTTTTCTTTTAAAAATAATCAATATATGTACAATTGTACAGTACTAAAATTTATACAATTACCTATTTTCCTTTAAAATTGATGATTTTTTGGTGGAAAGCAAACAAAACTTGCTGTCCTGGGAAATGTGTTAGATAATTAAAGAAACAGCATTTTTACAACACTATAATTGCTCGGTTCCTTTTTGCTAAATGCGATCTAATTAAGGCGCTGGGAGAGAGAAGAATTTTTCTCAGTTGTGGTGCCTCAGAATCACCATTGCAAATGTATGTCTCAGAAAAGCATTTAATCGGTGATCTTTCTAGAATTTCTCCTGTTGAACACTTGAGAATCATGAATCATATTCAATAAAATTTCCAACCAAATCCATTCACTTCTTTCAATGAATGAAATATTAGTGGAAATTCTGAAAAAATGCAACCAAAAAGAGCCCTTCCTGCACCCATTGCTTCTATTCAGTTCACGTATGCTCCCTTTGTCTAATTCTCAACTCTACCGATTCGATTCCTTTATTTTTACAATGAGAGAATGAAACAAGCTAAAAGTTAAAGCAGTTGGACCCTCCGTTACCATTTCAAATTCTCATGCTACTCAAATCCAAGCATTGTTTATTGTCGCATTTTCAATGCTACATTTTCCCCTCACAGTCCTTACATTACTTTTTAAACTGTACATTCTGATCCCTTGAAATTTCCAATTATTCTATTTTTCCTTTCAGTATTGAGCCTGATGTAGATAGAGTCGCAGAAGTCATAACCGGAGAAGTTACGGAAAGAAATGTCACGAACTGAGGTCGACTCGTAACTGATGAATATAAGGGCATTTGCAGCACTGCATCATTTCGAGTTTCCTCCCTAACTTTCATTGTGTCTGAGTGCCTTTTGGACACAGGAATTTTGCTGGAGACACTCAATTAGACAGTAAGTAATGAAAAGGAAGCTGAAATGCTTCATCTTTTTCAAGGCTCTTACTCAAAGAAAGGCGACCATAATGAGGTATAATAGCTGGAAACCTTTGACTAAGGCCATCTGTAGTAAATGATTCAACGTCAAAAGTGTGAAAGGCAGAAAATAAATAAAAATATCCATTAATTAAGTAAATAATATTAAACTTTAATGTACATGTACTTTGGTTCAAGTAGTTTATACACAAATCAAATAGCTAACACTGTTCAATACAAAAAAAAAATTATTTGTGCGATGAAATCAGAATTTTGTAATGATGGCAGCTTTCTTCATTTTATATTTGATACAAGACAATGATTATTCGATGGCAAGAATGATAATTCATTAAGGCATTGCTTTGTGGTACAGTGATACTTTGACACAAATAGGACACATCTTCCAGAAGGAACTATTCATCTTGCAGCTTAACACACTCTATATGAATGTAAAAAGAGCATACAATTTTTAGCACCTGTAAATTGACGAAAATCAAAATTCGTCTGTAAGAGAGACACTGCAAGCTGAAAAGAATTCAATTTCTTGTATCCTGCTTGAAGGAACGTATCTTGACTGTTTTGTTTCAGTATTTCTTCTTACACTTAATTTTCTCATGGGAGCTAGGACCATTGCACAAGTTAGTCTGAAAATTTCAGAGTCTGCTCTTACGAGGGTAAAGGAAACTAACCAGAAATTTCTGCAAAATTCCTGGGACAGTTTTCCTGTAAATGAGTAAAATGTAAGTAAGAAGTACTGTAACAGCGCAATCGAGATATGCTCCTTCGTGTGGGAGACACGATTTGTTGGACATAAGGGATGGATTTAGGTAAGCTACTGTAATTAGCACCACAATATGATTATTTTCTTGCTTCATGTGTTTAATATTAAGTTGAAGGTACCAAAGTCATGGAAAAAAAATTTCAAAGCATCATAAGAAAAATTTCAGTGGCGAATTATAGAACTTACCAACAGAAATTGAATAGAAATAGAATTGGGTGAGATTTTTCTGCTGACATATGTATATTAACTTTTTCCTAGAGGTAGATTACCAAAAGAAACAAATGGTGCATCCATTTCACACCAGAACTATGTCTATAAAATAATTTAACTGTCAGTAAGTTAGTCCAAATTTCTAAAGTTTACTCTATCAGAACATGTATATTTTAGCCTGAGATGCAATGAGCCAATCTCTCATGAAATTTAAAAAAAAATAATAATTTTTTGTTGATCTCCTTCTCACTGATGAATTATTTGAACAGCTAAGACCAAAATAGACGGATTTACTCCCAAAAAATAAATTGCTCTTCGTTTTTATAATCAAAATGTAGCAGTAATACTGGCATTTAATTGGCGTTTAGTGTAACAGGCGATCACTATTGCAATTTTTATATCATGAATTTATTCACTTTTGTAGGAGGAGGAATTTTTTTCACACTAGTGAATCCCAATCGCTAAACACTAAATACCCATTCAGTAAAGGAACCGATAAGGTACTCTGATAGGGCTCATTACTTTTATTCCTTAACAGGAAAATGGGATAGAGTTGTGCCTCGGTATCTATTTGAACATTTTCAAGCTTAATTGGCAGTGATGGTGAGATTGGAGGAGTCCAATCTCAATAATTATGTCCTAAACCTTAAGAGTCTCTTTTAGGAACCGGAGAAAAACTAAACAGAATCAATCAAACTTAAAAACCTCGAGGCCATAACCCTCAATTTGGAATTCTCCTTTGTCTAGTTTCCTAAATTGAGTTTACTAGAGTTGCACAAAGCTTTATTTTGAAAGAAAAATGAGTTGAGAGTAGTTTTTTTCAGTCGCAACTTTTCTCTTGTCAAAAATTCAAAATCTAGAAAAAATATTTTAAACGTGAGAATAGTCGTGAAAAACTAAGTCTTATGAAAGCATCAAACTTGAGACCTCTTTTCCCTGTTTAAAACTTTATGAACTTGTTCAAAATTGATGGACAGCCTCTATTTTGTGCAGCTAAGAGGGATACGGCTTACCCTGTTTTCGCTTGTCTTTGATTAATTCCCAAATAATGTAGTTTTAATTATTTGCATTCAAGTTTTGTCTAATTATATTTCAAGAAAAAAGACATTTTAAAGGCATTGATCATTGGTGAGGGAGGAATTTTCAGGAGCAACTATTTTTTTAAATTTCTTAAGTTAGCTGAATATGAAAAACGTTTGCCTGAGAAGTCCTGGATATTTTAGAACATCGTTTACTGCTGAAAAGATTCGCTAACAGAAAAGCTTATTAGATCAATCTAAAAAAATTATTTAAAAGTAGGTCAACATAGAGAGAATTAGTTTTTAAACAGAGAACACTACAAAGGATAAGAAATTTTACGAATCTCTGAATAATTGTTTGTAGTTTGTGTAGAGGATCTGCAAATGGGCTCTTTTTTCTTGGAGACTTTGCGATGAAAAAAAAAGGAAGAAGTAGCAAGTGAGTGTTGAGTACAGCAGGAAGGCCGAAAGAATTCTAAGGAGACAGTCTCAAATTTTGATCGGTTCAATGAATTGAAAGTGTCAAAATGAAATCGTTCGAAGACTGTACAAATTTTCAACAACATGCTCTACAGTTATGACTAGTGAAAAATATAACTACAGTAATTTACTATCAGGATAAAGTACTTATTTACATTTAGAATTATTTGTTTATCTCATCATTATTTTTTTAAATTCTTTCATAGAGATTTCCCAAGAATAGGCACCTCTTCTTTGTTTTTAAGGAACAAAAAATTAAAAACTCTTTTACTTCATTGATCTTTAGTAAAAAATAGATGAGTAAAACCTGAAAAATTAATAAAACGAATTAAATTTAAAATTGTATTCAATTTGTTGATTTACTTGTATAGTCTCCAGAGAAGTTTTTGTCAACCTGAAAAATTGATCGTAAGTGACAAATGTTTCTGTTGCTGAAATCTCTCTAAAGCAACTAAAAGATATGCAATCTGGTAACTGACAAAAGGAACTTTGAGGAACGTAATACGTGCATTAAAAATTTCAGATTCTCTGTTCACGATTTGATTTTAGTTGGTTTTTCAATTAAAATTCAAATCAAAGTAATAATCATGTAGCTACCTTGAGAATGATCAAAAACTATCAAATGGTTTCCAATGCCAGTTCCGCTGATACAACAAAATATAAGGCAACGGTTGTATTTTTTTCTCCTTTATTTTTATCAATTTTTTGGCATGGTAATTCAAGAAGAAACGGGCGTAATTTTTCAGATCTACAGGCTGATCGTTGAAATTTTTTGTTGATCAATTAGACACAACCGCAATTCTTGCAAATTTGCAATATTGGTGATTGTCCATTTAAATTTACAGGGTTGTTCAGGGGGTCCTGCGCTGCCAACACCAAACATTACTTTTGTAACTTGAAAAAAAAAATAAAATAAATTGAAATAAAAACTCGACATTTTGTGAGTCCTTCTGGGTTATAGAACACTACTTTTAAGACCCTCCAAAATATTAGAAAGATCCCTCTGAAAGGGCCAAGTTTAAAGTCCGAGGCTTAAAGAGTGGGGTGGAACTCTTAAATCACCCTCTATACAACACAATTGATATTCGTTTAGGCAGACTATCTCACTAAGAGTTGATTATTCATTATGAATTTAAATGGAGGATAAGCAGTACTGCAACTTGGGAGAGTTGCCTTATATTGGATGAGACAAGACTAAGGTGAAATAGAGTAAAGCGATTGCGCTGATGTATTGCTTGATTTCTTATTCATATTTTCGGGTTGGATTATCGATAAGCTCTTAAGACTCCTCCTTTCTGACCAACAACAATTCAATTATCCACTCCTATTAGATTAACAATGAAGGAGTCTGTCACTTGTAATGCAATTAATCAATTAGATCAGCTACTCCATTTTATTAAGTTATTCATACTGTATTCATTGATTGAGGATGAAAATTGTACCCGTATTAAACAGAAGATGAGTTCTTTGGATTTATATTTTAAGAAAAAACATTTTTCAAAACTTTTGCAACACTAAAAATTCGAATTATGTCAATCCATTTCGTCTTTTAATTTTAATTTTTTTTTTTTTTTGTGGTACTGTCCCCTTACACTTGGGAACTGCCTAGCATCGTCCTTTTTGAGTTTAGAATCTAACAACAACCTTTAACTTCCTGGCAGGAAAAGAGCTCTTTTTTGCTAGAATCTTCGTACTTACTTATATACCATTCTCAGAATAACACAACCGACTTAACAATAATTTTCCAACCAGATCAGCAACAGTAGTATAATCAACTACAAATCCGTATAAATAAGTTGTAAGAAATTTTGATCAATTCTCATCCATGGATGGACGATTCCAGACTTCCTTTCTCAGCTTGGAGATAGTCTTCTCCCCTGTCAATTTTTCCTGAGTTTCTTAAAAAAAATTTGGAGCAAAAAATTTGTTACTTTAAATGCAAACAAAAGTTAATATTAAGTACATGTTCATTTAGGATGTATGTATTTAAAAAGAAAAATTCCTGTCATTGAAATTATTTGGCGAGAGATTAATCAACAGAATGCGTAAGATGCAATAGATGTATTGTAGTTCATCATCAGTTAAAATGATAAAATATTGAATAAAAGAGATGATGATGCAGTTTTTTTTTTCTTTCTCTTCATAACTTCAGCAGCAGAGCTATGATTATCATAACTTGTTTGTTGGTTTAATTTTTTCCTCCAAAATGTGTCAGTTTTGTTTATGAATTTAAGTGGAAATCTTTCATAAGAATGTCCGCAATTAGCAAAACCTCAAATTAATTATTTATCGGTATTGTTATATTACGTCCAAATATGAAGTGATACTTCAAAAGACCCAATTAATCAATCAATATCATTATTAAAACTGAATTTCAATGAATTTTGAAAAGCACAGAAGAATAATTGGTTTTACTTCATAAAATGACTGAAAGTTAAATTTCAAAGCGCTGTTATTGTAAATTGACCAGGTTCTTTTAAAAAAGGAGCTTTTGAGTACGTAAGGTATTCTAAAATGACTGAAAGTTAAATTTCTAAGCGCTGTCATTGTGAATTGACCAGGTTCTTTTAAAAAAGGAGCTTTTGAGTACGTAGAGATTCTAGAAAAGGCAGTTAAACGCTGATAAGTAATCACAAGAAAAGAAGTCACAGGTATCATGAAACTGTTGAGAGACAAAATTTTACCAGAAACCTGTGACAAAATACAATGAATAAAATACAATATAATAAACGAAGGAAAAAAAGCTGAAAACAACATTGTAAAACCTAAAATATTCACAGCCTGGTCACACAGAGTTTTTATTAGATTATTTTACGTTATTATTTTTGTTTTTGTTTTCTGATCAAAAATGACTGCGTAATTTCGTTGAATCATCTCAGGTTTCAATTTGTTACTTTTAGCCTTTTCTCCCACAGTTTATGTACAAAAAGTAACTATTTTTCAATTTTTTCCTGGTTAGAGAGGAACTTAATTCTGGTATCCAAAAGAGGAGTGCGCACTTAAGTAGCGAAAAATAAGGAATGAAACTTTTTGCATAAGGTTAAAAAATAGAACGAAGAAAAAATACAACATATTACAGTTCTGTCTTCTCACTTGCTAAGGAATGAGAATAATTTCATGAAACGGTCATGCCTTAGGAAACTTGAGGCCGTCACTTGGACAAGGAACCACGTTGCATGCACATAGTTCTTTTTAGCATAAATACCTCCAATCATTTTTAGTACTTAACTGCCAACCAATCAGAATTAATTTTAAATGATCTTTAAACACGCTTAATTAGGTTTATTAATTCAGGCAGTAAAAAAATCTCCTATTCTACTCTACTCTCTATTCTAAAGGGTTTTGGCTCACAGGTCTGAAATGAAATTACCAGTCAAACTCTTTTTCTAAGAAATTATTATTGCCTGATGTGAAAAAACTAAGGATTTTCATTTTCAGAGATGAGGGCAGTTTTAAATTGATAAAATGACGAACTGGCTTTGTCACTTGGAACCTCCTGATACAAATGGGGGAAAAATATTTTATAATCAGATACACTTTGATACTTCCAAATATTCTATGTTAAATATTGCACTTGCAAAATTAAGTGAAAAACCATCATTAAAAAAAGAAAAAAATTCATCCTTTCTTTCAGAACGGTGACCCATTGCGTGCAATCTCGTCTACTTTAAGATCGCATCATTGTACACACGTGTCAGATTTTTTGCTTTACAACATTCTACCTGGGTAGTGAAAGTAAGAAGGATATCGAAGATTTTAAAGAATAGAACTGTTGACGCTTTAGGTTTATTTTTAAGAATCAACCTTTCCATAACTTTTGAAGCCCATGAATTTTCTTTATTTCTTGAATGGAACAAGGAAAAAAAACGAAGATCGGAGGAGGCCCTCAGTAAAATCAGTAAAAAAATAAACTAACAAAATTATCAGCTTTTATAGCGCATGTCAAACCAATGGTAATGATGTACAGATTACTACAAACAGTTGTGGTTAGACGCATAAGTCATTCAGACAGAGATGGTTTGTTTTTCATTGTAAGTGGGTTCTATTCAGTTCTGATCGTACTTTTTACTTGCCCACCGTGACTGCATGCTCAACTGTAGGTCTCAAAACAATTTCAAAACTGGGAGCAAAGAGCCAGGAGGCTTCGCTGTGCTGATTTGTTCTTAAAAACACTATTCTTAGAGAGGGAATTGTGCTCAAATAGGTGAGCTTTTTCTGTCTGCCGCAAAGATTTTTGAAACAACACTGAATTCGATGCACAGTGGCTAATAAACCATCTCTTTCTTCAGATTCATTGTGATACCTCGTCATACATAGGAGGGAGAATAGAAAGAATTCCTATCTAAAAGTCTGCTCTAAGTAGATTTTGAGTCTGGAAAATTGACCTGGGTGGCCATTTTTCAAAAAATGACGAGACCATCCCATAATGATTTTTTTTCACTTGGAAAATCAAAGTTGGCCACATCAAATGGTATTGAGATCACAATAGGGCGAAGGATTAAAATTATACATTTTTAAAACAAGATAAAACAGATTTGGCAGCTGATGGCATAACAATATTAAGTGAGCAACGTATTTTACAGAGATTCAATTAATTTCCTAGTATATACAAACGTGAGACTCTGCAGTTCGTTCTTTGTAAGTTGGTTCTGCTAGACGCTGAGCTTGACTCTCGAAAACGCTCCCCCTTCGGAAATCATAAATCGGACTTACCGACCCGAAACCTGTCAACAGATTATTTAAAGTACATTTTTAAGTAATCATTCCTATATAGAAATCGTTTCTGATAGTAATTTTTTAAGTAAAGTTCTCATTTTTAATGTTTTTTTTCTTGTTTCAAGGTAAAAATAACAGAGGCGTCCAGTTTTCTTTTTTTTTTTTCATGGACTCTTGATTCAACTTGAGATGGTTTGATCAACTTGGTTGGACACTGTTGAGGTCAACATTCAGGGATATTCAATTTCTTGCTGGGCAGGTACATGCCTCTTGCAATTGAAAAAACCGTCCCCCTGTAGGTAAAGATGACTATTCTAGCCTTATTGCCAAAGCCAGGGCCCCCAAAAAGGCACTCTTTACAATGAACCTCCGGACAAGGTCTGAACTAAAAATAAACGTCATTTGTTTTCTCTGCAAAATTTTACTGAAAAACGATTCATACAACCGGAAGTTTGAAAATCAACTTTTTAACAGTATACCAACAAATTTTTATGAATTATAAATTTAAAGTTTTAAGTTGAATAAGATAGAAGTTATATTATACTGATGAAGTCATTTGTACTTTTGCCGTGTAACCAATTTTAATTGGAATTAAAAGAAGTTGATTTTTAGACTTCCTGTTGTGTGGTTCATTATCATTGTGCAATTTTGAAAAGGAAACGAGTTGAATAGTGCTTCAGATCATACCATCAGGATGTCTAGCATCAGGATTTTTCCGATTTCATCAGAATTTGGGGAAAAATCGGTCATAAAATCAGGATTTGAGAAAAGTTGGCTGTCTGATCAGACTGCTTTCACATACGCTTATGCAGAAATTTTAATTTTGCCCCGCAGAAATTTAGGATTTGAAATGAGGATTTCATCAAGATTTCCCAAAATGAAAATAAAAAAACTAGACACCCTGTACCTTGTCAAGAGGTCCATTATCATTCTACGAGACCTAAACTTTTTCAACATCTACTTTAGGAAATCTTTTGAACATAAAGATTTCCCCTTATGAAACAAATAAAGGAGCAGAGTTGAAAAAAAGAGAAGATATTTTGACTTACTTTCTCTTCGGTGACAGTCGGGTGGCAAACCGAGCAATTGACGCTCTGGACAGCTATGTGCATCAAACACAGTAGCTATGCAGTCGCTCTCACTATGATGGGAAGAGTGGGAAGGGGGAGGTTTCTCCCACTGTCAAACGGCG